AATTGCATCTGAAAAGGAACACACTATGCTTGCCTCCATGGCGCTGCTCATGCCTTCAAAGATTGTCCGAATTGGCGGAATAGCCGGCCGGCATCACGAACGTGCAACATGCTGCTGTAGTTGCTTAATCAGGGCAGGCAGTCTTGCAGGCGCTCTCCTCCAACACACCTGTGCTTCCTATAATTACCACTCAACTAATGGAATAAGTTGCTGGTTTTAATAAAATGTTTATTGAAATAATTCTTGTCCTACGAGTGATGCTGAAAACGAAGATTGAATATAATTTCTTTCCAGATACTATGTACAATATGAAATAGATGCAATACCGAATATCAATACTAGCAAGCCGATTGATGTGTAAACGAAACTTTGTTTTAACTGGAATAAAGTGAATAAAAATACTAAAAGTACTTAAAGAATGGGCTTTATGTAATTGAAAGTACTGAAAACAGTGAGTATAGACATAAATCTGTGCACTTTTGTTAGTTCGGGACTAAATGCAAAAGAACATGCGACTATAACACATATACTTGAAATCAGCTCGTGAACTAATCAATCTCCAATTATGTTCTTCAAATAGTATCTTTGAACAAATTAAGGCTTTTTAATTTTTTTTTGTTATATAAGCTTACAGAGTTATCAAAATTGTTGCGACCAAGCACGAGTCCGAACTTAACAGAAATAGTCAGAAGTCGTTCCCGTACAAACGTTTATAATATCTTCAGTACGTAGTTACCTACTAGCTCTCTCTGTGAACGGTTGCATTTTTTGATTTTGCTCTTGTGTTTCCCGCTATCTTATAAACGTTATACACTTTGTGTAAAACAGTTATATTACGGTTACGGTTACATTTATTTTCTTCATTCAACTGACTTTATATATTTTTTTGTTTAAAAGTAAAGATTAAAACCAAGTACGTAAATACATATTTGTGTGTTCGAAATGGCCCCGGCGGCCACCTACCTTGGGGTGAACAGGTATGCCCTGTTATCTCCGCCCCCAAAACTAAAAAGAAAAAAACCTGATTTAACGCCGTTGGACCCTTTCCCTGGACTCCCGATCATAAAAAAGGATGACCCGAAATTCTTAATTATAAAATCATCTGATGATAAAAAACCGATTACAACTTTTTCGTGCTTTTCGATCCATAAAAGAATTCAAGCCATAAGCGGTGAGGGCAACGTCATCTCTGAGCTTCGTGATGGCAGCTTATTGCTGCTTGCTAAGAATAAGAAAGCTGCTGATAGGTTCCTGAATGCTAAGACATTACCCGGTGTTGGAAATATTTCTATAAAGTTACACAATAACCTCAATTCGGTAAAAGGCACAATTTATGCGCCCTTCTTAATCCACGTTTCCGAAGACGAAATAGTTGAAGGCCTCAAGGAACAAGGAGTAACAGCTTCTTATACATTTTCAAAAATTATTGATAACTCTCGTAAGCCTTCTGCCGCCATCTTGTTAACCTTCGATAAATATACTCTCCCGGATAAAATTGAGGTCGCCTGGAGGATTCTTGACGTTCGACCATACTACCCTAACCCTATGCGTAGTAAGGTATGTCAATCTATTGAATCTATTGATCACACTGCTAAGCATTGCCATAATCCCCCAGTCTGTGCCACGTATACACTTCCCCCCCATACTCCATCAGATTGCACTAGAGTCTTATGTGCCAATTGTTCAGGCAATCGCCCTTCCTCATCGAACCAATGTCCTGAATTCCAACAGATGAGAGAGATCCTCAAAGTTAAAACTATAAATAAGTGATGTAATGTGGAACGATTTTCCGTCATCCCTTGTCAAATTTGGTTTGGAGACAAACCGGTTTCGGCGTTGTGCCATCTTCAGTGTCATTTTTCGAAGAACCAAATTTGACTCCAAACCAAATTTGACAAGGGATGACGGAAAATCGTTCCACATTACATCACACTCCTACCCTGTCGGAAACACCAACAACGAAAATGAGACTATAAATTAGTGTTCAATGCGTGAAGCCATTAAAAAATATAATAGCCAAAACCCGTTTACTCCCAAAGCTAATTCCTATGCAAACATAACAAAAACATCCAACCAAATCATAGAATCATCAACAAAAACTGAAAACAACATTAAACCAAAATATGAATCTTCCATCGCATCTAATTCTTCTCCTTCTTATGGAGACTCCTCCTTCCCCTAACTTCTCCCCTGTTACCAACTTTGATAACTCTTCACCCAACACCCCTTCTTCCTCCCCAATGCTCGTCTCTCCCCTTTCCTTTTCCCAACAAATTCCTCTCACCCCACCTAATACTCTTGAGTTATACTCTCCCTCCTCTTCATCTAAGTAATTCTTGCTTTTATTTCTTGCCTTTATGATTTCTCTCTTGCAGTGGAATATGAATGGTTATTTAAATAACTATATTGAACTAGAGTACTTAATTAAAACTATTAACTCCTCAGTCGTTTTGTTAAATGAAACCCACCTTACACATAATATCATAGCCCCTACTCCTAAAGCTTATATTGGACACTTCTACAACCTCCCCCAAATTACCAATAGTAAACAAGGCATTGCAATCCTAATTAAATGAAATCTGCCTCATTCTACCTATTACCCTACTTCCAGTTAGCCAACAAAATTTCAATTATTTGTGCTTATTCTCCTCCTAATGAATTTTTCGCTTTAACTGACTTTAATAATCTTACACCCTCTTCCTCTAATCCCTATATTATAGCAGGTGATTTCCATGCTTGGGGTCCCCTTTGGGGTTCTCCTTCAGCTAATTCTAAAGATTTTTACTTACTTCTAATGGAATTATTCTGAATGATGGATCCCCCACCCACTTTTCTACTCACTCTTCCTTTACTCATATTGATATCACTCTTTCGTATTCTCCTCCATCCTCTAAATGTTCTTGGCATCCAATAGATGACCTTCATGGAAGTGATCACTTTCCTATAGTTACCAAAATTTCTACCTCCCGTGTTTTAACGACCTATAAGCCCAGATCCTTTTTTAAAACAGATTTAGCTAACTGGGCCAAATTTGAAGACTCGTGTTTTAGATTTTCCAACTCATTTCCCTCCTCCTCCATATCAATCAGGAAACTTACAGGATTCATAAAATTATTCGATGCGCAGCTAATCAATCTATCCCTGTATCGTCATCGAAACCTGTTAGGCCTACCCCCTTATGGTGGAACAGTGATCTAGCAGAGTAAATACAAGATAAACAACGTAAGTGGCATGAATTCAAACGTAATCGCATCTCAACCAATCTTATTCAATACAAGAAATCTTACGCTTTATTTCGACGTGCATCTAAAGTTGCCAAAATGTCTTGCTTCCAAAAATTCACTTCCTCCATTAACTCTTCTTGTGACACCAAAATAATTTGGTCGGATATAAAAAGGCTAACTGGATTTCCATCTTCCTCCTCCATCACATCAATTAATTCACCTCGAGGCAAACTTCTATATCCACGGGATATAGCTGCAGAATTTTCTCTCTATTATTCCAATAACTCCTCTGACACTAGTTTCCCTTCTGAATTTTATTCTACTAAATGTTCAATTATCTCATCCTCGTACCTCCCTCCTAACGCTCTATCTTTCTCTGCCAAGCTAATAGATGCTAATCTTTCTCTACTTGAATTCCGCACAGCTCTATCCACTGTTAGAGGCAAAACACCTGGCATAGATAAGATCTCCTATACCATCATAAAACATCTCCCTTCTTTTCTTTTTTCCCGTATTGTATCATATTATAACAACATCTATATCACTGGTGATTACCCTGTTTTGTGGAAGAAGAGCTCGATCATACCAATTTTGAAGCCAGGTAAACCCCCCTGCGAGGTAGGTAGTTACCGCCCTATTTCCCTCCTGCCGTGCCTTGGTAAACTGATGGAGAAAGTTATTGCATCCAGGCTCACCTGGTATGTTCATAAGAATAAGTTTCTCCACCCTAACCAGGTTGCATTTAAGAGGGGGCAGGGCACTATTGACGCTCTTTTGCATTTAGATAATTTTGTTTCGGAAGCATTGTCTTCCAGAAATCACATATCGTTACTCTCGATAGATTTTTTAAAAGCCTTTGACCGTATTGGCATCCATGTGGTATTGAGACGGCTTATTGAATGGAAAGTTGGCCCTCGTATATACAATTTTATAAAATCTTTTCTTTCGAATCGTAAAATTAGCGTTCTCATTTCTAACATTCTCTCTTCTACCTTTCCTCTTGATAA